GGACATAAAACATGCCGTCTTACTAAAAATATCATACAACATATAGTATGTGTGTTTGAAACAGATTCTTTACAGAATTATAAAAGATTTTTTATTATAAATTAAGAAACCCCTAGTATTAATATTGATTGGACCATTTGGGCACCGAGGCTGCACAGATGTTGAAAATTTCAAGCTAAATTTATCAAAGCTACTGGACTTAATCAGCAGTGAACATGTCAGTGGGGTTGTCTTATGTATAAACCAGATGTTACAGCATCAATATTTTACGAGTCTTTATTCTCTTTACCTTTTCAGCATTGCATTGGCACACATGGCAACAGCCTGGCATACATTTACAGCTACCCACTAGAACTATTTGTTTGAAATGTAAATAAGTAAAAAGTTGACAAAAAACTGGTTCATCCTAAGGCATTTTTAGTAGTAGTGGTGGTGGTAAGGGAAGGGGGGGGTCAATATACTTTGGCCTGTTCTTATATATTTTTTCTAAAATTTTAAACATATCTTTTTTTCTTTAATTACCTAAATACTGAATAAATTAAAAGCAACTTCACTTAAATGAATATTTACTCAGTATTCTTAACTTATTGAAATTGTAATTTGAAAGCTAAAATAAGCAGTGACAGAGTATATGCTTCTAGCTGAGAGTAGATTGAAGCGCTTATTAGTTGTCCGTGCTCCTTATTATATAGTATATTGAAAGTTTGGAAAGATTCATTCAAAAAAAAAAAAGGTAAACAACATGAACAAAGGGGAAAAGGAGCTTTTTAAGCCTACCAGTTAGAAATATGTGTCACTCAATGTGTCATTATTAAACAATAAAAGACTGTGAGATGAAGCCCAAGGTTTCAGCAAAAGAGCCAACCCACATTGTCAGTTACACCATTACAGATTGTAACCCAAGCATCTATACTCTTAATTAAAGCAATAGAATTCAAATTACACAAAAACAAGAATTAATGCATCTACAGAAAAATGGAACTTAAAGTCGAAATAAAAATAGATTTATATTTCCTCAAGCTTGAGAAAGCTTTCATTAAACTGTGCTACCCCCGGTTCTGTCTGCATCTCACTCTCCATTCGAAATTAAGTAAAAATAAAAAGCAAAGAACAACTTACACATCATATGTTTTTCATTTCAATCTATGATTTCATTTGAGTAATGTGCAAGTGACAGTAATAACAAATGCCCCCGCCCATCAAACACCGGTGGATGGAAACAAATTACCTCTCCGAAGTGTAAAGTCGCCACTATCAGGATGACAGCTGCTGCAATAACCATAAAAATCCCATATTTGTGTGATAAAATATCATAAACTTGTTTTTGTATTACTTTCTTCAAGTTTTTTAGCATAATAAAAACTCGTGATCAAGCCAGTGACTTTTCCATGGGAGCTGCCATCTTTGTTTGCAATGCATTGTGGGTATGCCACGCGAGTTTGTTTACCTACTCGAGACGAAAATGAAGAGTTTGTGTAGCAGGATAATGGTAGAAAATTGGTAGCAAGGAACCTTAAAATTACACAAACGTGTCGTATTTCTTTCTCTATTTCCATATATAATAGTCATAAAATATATAACTATTCGGAACACACCTTGAAATATATCGGAGTATCCTCGGGATTTATATGGCAAACAGGAAAGCATGTCAATGAATCTGAGAGAGGAGATAGCAAAATTAACAACCCCAGCTCCTGTTTTCTGTGATCCAGAAGACGATTTAGAGGATGGTATGGATGACTGGTGTTTTTTTTATCTTACGAATTTAAAAACGATTGAGTTGTTCATGTTAGACAAAGCAACTGGACATGCAGCCACTATTTTCTTATTTTGTCAGGTCCAGCACAATCTCTTGGTTAAGCTATATAGCTTTAAAAAGCTATATAGCTTTATTAAGCTATTCAAAATAGCTCTTGATAAAGCTATTTATATGCAGTTTTTCACAAAAACGTTTTTCGCAAGATTGAAGAAATAAACAAAAAGTCGCAAGTATATGATTATAATCATATATGTATTATGGACTATCAAAAATATTTAAGGAATCACTGTCTAGTTTTGAGAGTATGCCAGGGCATCAACAATAGTGGGAAACATGGGATAATTTGCATAACAGGCGAAGCCCGTTATGCTAAAATTATCCCATGTTTCCCACTATTGTTGATGTCCCTGGCATACTCTCAAAACTAGACAGTGATTCCTTATATTTCCATTTCATTGTGAAATAAAACTGTAGACTTAGACATTAAGAATGTATACTAATCGATTTAAATTACACGAGGACTTCCATGCCAATTTCAACAGTCCTCGCACACTGACGTCAAACACAAAGGCAGCCGCACGAGATTTACATGCATATTTGGCCTCCTTAGCGTCAGACACAGAGACAGATGCGCACGAGGTTTGCATGCGTATTAGGCCTCCTTAGCTGCTGACCTATCGACCTGCCTAATTTACATTCCGGCAGAATTATCAGGAAATCAACTCAGCTTACTTTCAAAGGGTTATTATAGAGAAAAAATTTAGAAATGGAAATATATCGGTATATACCCATCGAACTATAGAGGATTAAGTGTTACAAGCTGTATGGGAAAACTCTTTAATGGACTTTTACAATGCCGCCTAAATTCATACTTGGAAACAAATGGCCTACTGAGTGATTATCAATTTGGATTCAGAAGAAACCACTGTACCACAGATAATATATTTATTTTAAAAGCCCTTATAAATAAATATTTAAAATGGAAGAAACAAAACATTTATGCATGTTTTGTGGATTTTACTAAAGCCTTTGATACAGTTGATCGTACTTTAATGTTACACAAATATACCAAAAGGGCATAGGTGGGAAATTTTACAATATTATAAATATGTGACAGAATTTGGTTTTACCCTCAAACCAAGGTACCACTCACGGCACCAATGTAACCGGAATTCGCTACATGGTATCAATGCAATTTAGGAAATTCCATGATACCAGTGTAGCGAAAATGACCGTATGAAAATACCTCTTTAATATCACACACTTTCTTTATTAATAATAGTACTTCGCGTTTTATTCCAATTTCTTACTAACCAATAAGCCTTTTGATTTTCAAATAGTCACGAAAGTGACTTACTAACCCAAGAATTTTAATAACAAGAGTTTGCAAATTAACAAGTATTTATTATAGTCACAGATATATTTTATTAACAGTACAAGAATATTTACAACAAAAACTGATGTACTAACGACCTTGTACTTATAAGCCTCAATAAAAATAAGTGCCTACCTAACAAATGTACAATGTCCAGAGCCCGTCCTACCCAACGCTAAGTCCGAATGAAAGTGACCCACCCCTGCACGAAAAATCTACTATGCCTAACCTAACCGGTTTACCAAAAATAGAAATAAGGAACTGGAAAATGGACGTAAAAATAAGGAAAACAAAAAGGATAATGGTGAACGAATGAACGATTTGAACGAGACAGAGACAGGGACCGGGATCCACCCCTCTAATCAAAAAAGTGAGCTGGTACGAACCTTTGAGAAGGTTCCAGACCAACTGACTAATCGTGAAATGCTGGACTTTAAATACACCGCGGTCTAAAGGTGTGTCTCTCTTATCCAATCAAAATCTACATTCTATGTATAACCCATACAAGGACGTTTCCCAAATAACTGTATAAAGCTAGAAAGTTTCCGAATGTAAAACAAACGATCGTAACCAATAAGAATCATCGTTATTTACTAACTATGTAAAATCCAATCCTACCACAAATAATATGTTCTCAAATACTAAATATTGTTGTAAAGATGAATCTTACTATAGTGAACATTTTATAGCTACACGCGGGGTTAAACAAGGAGATAATCTTTCCCCTATTCTTTTTAATATATTTATTGATGACTTCTACTCACACTTAATTGATTATAACACAAGTCCTCCTGAATTACAAAATATTGAAGTTGGACATTTATTCTTTGCAGATGACCTAATTCTCCTCTCTACTACAAAAGAAGGTCTCCAAAACTCATTAGACTGTCTCTCAGAATATTGCATAAAATCAAAATTGACTGTTAACTCTGATAAAACTAAAGCAATGATTTTCTCAAATAAGAAAATTGACACAACTCAATATTGTTTTTATTATAATCATTTAATAGTTCATCTTGAACATGAATATAAATATCTAGGAATTATTTTTACTTATAATGGTAAGCTTAAGTATGCCGCTGAACAACTAGGTGACCGTGCAAGAAAAGCTTTTTATGCAATGAAACGCTCATTACCTTTTCATAATAACTTATCTGTAAAAACTCTTTTAAAATTATATACTTCACTTATTGAACCTATCATTTTGTATAGTTCTGAAACATGGATTTCAGACTTTAATATTAATATAAACAATTGTGATCAACTACCTTTTGAAAAGATACAGCATTTGATATTTAAAGATATTTTGGGTGTACAGAGAAAAGCTTCAAATTTAGCCATTAAATATGAGCTAGGAACAGTCCCTATTTGTTGCAAAGCTATCATCTCAATGTTTAAATACTATAAGAGACTAAAAAATGTTAAGAATAAAAATAGCACTAGAAATCAAATTCTTATTGCTGCTTCCTTAGAAGATGACAACTTATATAGTAATGGTGTAAAGGATAATTGGCAAAGTCAGATTGATAAATTAAAAAAGAAACTTAACCTTCCATCATTAGATATAACTGATATCACATTCAGCAGCTGCTTGAAGAATTTTTACATAAAAAATGTTAATTTGCAACTCCAGAACATTGAATTCTCCAAATGTGGTAAATTATTATTTTTCAGTCAAATTAGAAAGAATTATGAATTACAAGACTACTTAAAATATCCAATAAATAAAGCTATACGTTCTAAATTAACAAAACTGAGAATTTCTGCACATCCTTTGGAAATTGAAGTAGGCAGATATTCAAAGCCTTGTATCCCAAAAGAATTGCGTTTTTTAGCTCACCTGAGCCGAAGGCTCAAGTGAGCTTTTCTGATCACATTTTGTCCGTCGTCCGTCCGTCTGTCCGTCCGTCTGTCTGTCTGTCTGTCCGTCCGTCCGTCTGTAAACTTTTCACATTTTCAACTTCTTCTCAAGAACCACTGGGCCAATTTTAACCAAACTTGGTACAAAGCATCCTTGGGTAAAGGGGAATTTAAATTGTCAAAATGAAGGGACATATCCCCTCGCAAGGGGAGATAATCAAGAAAAGACAAAAATAGGGTTGGGTCATTAAAAAATCTTCTTCTCAAGAACCACTGGGCCAGAAAAGCTGAAACTTATGTGGAAGCATTGTGGGGAGTGTAGATTCTAAATTGTTCAAATCATGGCCCCCGGGGGAAGGGCGGGGCCACAATGGGGAATCAAAGTTTTATATAGAAATATATAGGAAAAATCTTTGAAAATCTTCTTCTCAAGAACAACTGGGCCAGAAAAGCTGAAACTTATGTGAAAGCATCCTGGTATAGTGTAGATTCTAAATTGTTCAAATCATGACCCCCGGGGGAAGGGCGGGGCCACAATGGGGTATCAAAGTTTTACATAGAAAAATATAGGAAAAATCTTTGAAAATCTTCTTCTCAAGAACCACTGGGCCAGAAAAGCTGAAACTTATGTGGAAGCATCCTGGTATAATGTAGATTCTAAATTGTTCAAATAATGACCCCGGGGGGAAGGGCGGGGCCACAATGGGGAATCATTGTTTTATATAGAAATATATAGGAAAAATCTTTGGAAATCTTCTCAAGACCCACTGGGCCAGAAAAAGTGAAGCTTATGAGGAAGCAGTCTTGGGTAGTGTAAATTCTCAATTGTAGGAATCATGACCCTCGGGGAAGGGCGGGGCCATTATAGGGAATCAAAGTTTTACATAGAAATATATAGGAAAAATCTTTGAAAATCTTCTTCTCAGGAACCAGTCGAACCACTGGGCCAAAAAATCTGAAACATATGTGCCCATGGAAGGATCATGGGGTAGTGTAGATTTCAAAATGTCTAAATTATGATCAGTGGGGTAGGGTGGGGATGCATTATGTATAACAAAGGGGAAATCTGGTAAAGAAGAGAATGGTCAAAGCTTCTCAGGTGAGCGATGTGGCCCATGGGCCTCTTGTGTCACTATTGTAAAACTGTTGTAGAAAGTGAAATACATTTCATATATGACTGTCCCTTATATATAGATTTGCGAAAAAAGTACTGTTCTTTGAACATCTGTAATTCAAACGATAACATATTGAAAGAAAATCATTGTAAAGTATTATGTAATCCTGATAATGCAGTTCATTCTAGAAGGCTGTGTGAATTTTTATATGAATGTTTTGAATTGCGTTCCAAAAATAAAGCACAATTATAATATATTTATTTAATGCTTTTATTAGCTCATCACTGTTCATACTATATTGCTTGCATAATGATTATGTTTAATCTTCAAGTTGTTATACTCTGCATTGTTGACTTCACTGATCCATACACTTGCATGTATGTATTTTATTACTTGTCTTTTATATGTAACATGGTTGTATGCCAACATGTTTGGTGAATCAATAAAGAAATTGAAATTGAAAAATACAACCTAAATCATAGAAAGTTCTAACATTGCTGCTGTTGAGTACTTTTAAGCAAAACATGAATTTCCATTGTTTGATTAACTGTGTGTGCGATTAAGCGTGGGTAAGTATGATTGCTTCTCATTGAGCTGAATTATTACCAATCAATTATCCTGTTGGCCATCAATGACCTCTTTTATAATTTCATTCAAGAAATAACTGTGTGGTCACTCATCAATAGCTCCAAAACTTTTAAAACTTTGAGTACAAAGTCTCTCAAGGAGACACAATTTGGTGAGTGATTTTCACATGCATTGTATTCAGAAGAGTTCCAAGTTTAATATTTCCACTGCACCAAGGTGCGAGTTTTTGCACTTGTTGAAAAAATAACACTATTGAGAAAAAAGTCTAATAAAATAGCTTAATCAAGCTATTCTGAATAGCTTAATAAAGCTATTTAGCTAAATCAAGCTATATAGCTTAATCAAGAGATTGTGCCGGACCTGTTTGTTGTAGGCCCATTGTATCTCTGATTATTTTAACAGCAGCTATCTTGAGCAATAATAAATCTTATTTGATTTAGACATTAACCAGAAATTTTTCCTTTATATTTGTTTTATCTGTAACTTTCACAGTAGAATTACAGATGAGGATTTTGATACACACGTGGGTCATCAACTAAAAGCAGCATTCCTATATGCTCTCATCCCTTTTATAAATTAAGTCCATCATCATTGTTTTCCTTCAGTTACAGCAGCAAAATTAACAGAGAAGAGTGGGGAGAAGGATGAGTTCGCTCCCTTGCCAGCTACTAAACTAAGACAGAGAGCAGCTGCAGCAGAGTCTGTAAATAATGAGAAAAAGTACGCGGGACGGAAAATATCACGACAAAAGCTCTTGGACCTTGACTCAGGTACGGTTTGATAACGGAGGCAGTTTATCAATTCTTTATGTTATTATAACTAAAATCAAATACAGAAGTTGTAAAATTGAGTATAAAAGCTTGGAAAGATGATTAAATATCTTGAATATTGGAAATGTTATTCAACACCTTTTGAGAATAATCAATGTAATCCAATTGTTCTTCAATAACTGATAGATATACATTTTAATAAAGAATCTGAAACAAACCAAATGTTAAGATTTTGTTGTATGACAGATGTCAGTGGATCTGAGGAACAAAGTGAGAGTGAATCAGAACAAGAAGATGAGAGCTCTCTTGGTGAAGAGGACGTAATGGATGATAAAGAAGATGGGGAGAAAGATGAGGAGTCTGATGATGAATCAGAGTCTATGGGAAGCGAGGAGCCCAGGACAGCAGAAGAAGCAGAGGAGGAGTTGTCTACCCTTGGTTCATTTAAAGCCAAGATGGCATCAAGCACAGATCCTCAGGAAGCTGGTCAAAAGTTTAGGTCTGTAGAATTTAAGCAATTTTTATTGCTATATATACACTGAAGGAAGATTTATGTATTTTAAACAAGATATGAGAGACTTTTTTAATATGAGTATGCATATGTTTCAAAGTTTTGTAGATGACGGGGATTACAGTAAGTATTATGATTCTGAAGAAGAGGCTGAGGATCAGAGCGATGATGATGATGAAGACACTGATGATAATGAAGAAGAAGGAGATGATGATGAAGAATCAATGGAGGAAGATGAGAATGAAGTAGAAGAAGGTAATGGTGATATCAAACCTTAATACATGTATACTGTGTAGCTTCAGTATCTTGAATATTTTTTATTTTAAACCAAGAATATGTCAACTTCAGGTAGCAGTTTTGACCTTATCATGCTCTGATATCTTGAAGAAAGATTTCAGTGAATAGCTGTTTTAAGAAAATAATTTCTAAAGAACATTTTTAACATAGTTTTTAAACTGTATGATGTAGTAAAATAATGAATGTTTCATTTTCAAGGTGAGGGAGGAGTTAGCAGTTTCTCCAAGTCCAGACTTAACGAGGAGATCCAGAAAGGAGAAGCAGCCAGACAGCAGTTAGGTGAGTACAAGTTAGGGACAATAATAGACAGACAGCAAGTAGGTCTGTACACGTAAGGGGCAACACAAAGAAGGCAATAATTAAATCTGTACAACAACTAGGTTATTACAAGTAGGGGACAACAGACAAACAAGCAATGGAGTTTGTACAAGTAGAGCAACAATATACAAGGAAATAGTGAAGAAAGGGTATGTCTTTTAACCACAAGGAATCACAATGAACCATAAGGAACTTCCCTTTACCTATAGATGCTTTGTGCCAAAATAAGTTGAAATTGGATAAGCTGTTCAAGAAAAGAAGATGAAATGGTTCAAAAGATTAGGAAACAGATGGACAGGAAGCACAACATCGGACAATAACATATAGCAATAGGTCACCTGTGTGACTCAGATGACTAAAAATTGAACATATAAACCATAATTAGACTCATTAAAGTTAAATAAGATGTCATTGGTGTGTCCTTGTGGTTCCTTGTGGTTAAAAGACATACCTGTGAAGAAATAAAGATGACTTGTAGGAGCTCCTTGTAGGTCGTCAAACAAATAATTGATAAAAAGTTACCTCTTCATTCATTTCGTACTTCTTGATGTATCCTAGTTTATTCCCCATAAAATATGTATATCAATACACAAGTTAGACATAAAAAAATGAATTTATTCACTAATGTCTTTATATTTGAAGTTTTTGAATGGTTCTTTAGGTCTGTGGGACAGTTTACTAGAGGGAAGAATCAAGTTTCAAAAAATACTGACAGCTGTCAATCAACTTCCACAACCTGACACCTGGAGAGATTTTGAGAAATTAGGGGAAGATAACTTCAAGGAAAAGTCTACAACAGGTACACCAACAGCATAAAGTATGCTAAAGAATATTCTGTAAAAGTGTATATTTTAAAATTATTTAAGATTACTTTCACATGCTCTCAGGAACATTCAAGTACTTTGTATAAGTCTGCTTAAAGAAATGTTCTTGTGGCATGTGTATTCACAATCTGCTGATTTGCTTTAATTACAGTGCAGACAGGTTTGGAGAATCTTCTTCAGAAACTGATCCAGCTACAGTCAGTTCTTCTTCTCCAGAACTCAGAGACTCAACACATCGAATCAGGACAGCAAAAGTAGGTGTACAGAGCTTAAGGAAATAGCTAAAACCAATATTAAACAGTGAACAATGTCTCACTTTGTGTACCTATTGATTTCAATATGAGGGGAAAAATTATGACAACTGATCATATAGTAAAATTTAGGCATTTACTTTTAATAAAACTGCAAAATAAAGAATAAGTTGTTGAGATGTGAATGTTCTCTGTAGACCAGTGAAGAAGACAGAGGACCCGGATGATGAGGAGATAACGAGTGAGTCTGACACAGAGGAGACAAAACAAACAGACGAGAAATCAACTGTGCAGCATAAAGGTAGGAAACGGAAACTAGCAATGGAGGAAATACCAGACTTCCTGGCCAAACGACACAAAGACTTCCAGAACTACAGGTTAATTAACATGAAGAATTAATTTTTATTTTTTATACAGCTAGTATTGTTTCAATACTTTCCCTAAAAGATAAATTGGCAATTTAGAGGAGGTTTATTTCATCTAGCAATATACATTCAGTACACTTTAATACAGAATTCTTTTAAACTAAACTTTCTTTGGAGCAATAGTGTTTTGATGTTAAATTTTATAGGCTATGGTCCCTGAAGTGTAGTGTATAGACTCAGATAATCTTAAAATCATTGTCCTTTTGTAGAAATGATACACTTCAGAAATGGTTTGACAAGACTCGCTTACTTGGAGGTAAAATCTCCAGTAAATCCTTCAATGCTTTTGAACAGTCAGCTCTGAAACAAATCGAACAGGTACGATTATCAGGACATTGGAAGAAATTAAAGAAACATTTTACAGTATATTCGATAGAAGTTTTAGAAAAAACGGGAACAGCAATGGTTAAGTTTTAGTAAATTATAATTTTAATCTTACCTAAACCAAAACTTGAAGTGAGGTGCTTAGAGGCGTTTTTCTAGTCTCATTGAAATTCAGTTTAATGATTGCTTCTGAAATATTGTTGAATCAGCCAGTCTTTTGATTGTACTACTTCTTTTGTTTTTTAGGTTTTGAGTGATAGAGACAGACTGATTAAGAGGACACAGATGAAGCGGGCCAGCTACAAAGTCCTGGGGAAACCCGAGGAAGCAGAGACAGCTGTCAGTCAAGATCAAGAACCATTGGTATACTCCCCCTTATAAACACCCCAACCACGCTTTACTTAGGGAAAAAACTGAAATAAAACAAAATAGCTGTAAGAATGAAAGGCAGAATTTTTCTTCTTTGGAAAAATTGTTCAACCTGTATTTAGTGACTTTATTATGGTAAAACTTGTTTAGTATGAACATGGATATTGCGAATTCACGGATATAGCAAAGTTATCTTGGATCCCCAGCTATATAATATTAACGAATTCCTTATACGGATATAAAGAATTACGGATATAGCAAAGTAATTTCATAGGTCCCAGTGACTTTGCTATAACCAAGTTTTACTGTATATAAAACCTTTAAATTTTCTCCCAGTAATGTTACCTGTATTAAGCAAATCCAAGTCAACCATTACATGAGATCATCATTTGATGTGTTAACAAAATTGGCTAGAATGCAACTCCATGCTCTAAAATACATGTACATATTTCCCCTGATGGATCACTTAACACAAGTTTATCTGTATACATTATGCATCCCTACTAGACTTGTGTGAACTTATATAGACATTTCACTTTTGGCCTTCAAAATGAACTAAAACTGACAGCCATTCAAAACAGAGATCAGCAGTGAAGTAAATATTTTACAGCAGGAGACAAGCATAAAGACATCAGAACAGACATATGATGCGGAGATTTTTGATGACAGTGACTTCTACCACCAACAGCTGAGAGAGCTCATAGAGAGAAAGACCTCAGATATAAACGATCCCATTGCCCTCAGCAGGTCAGGAAGGCATTTTTTTAGTGATTTATAAAACAATTTACCGGTATTAGAATCATTTGGAATGCCATGAATCAGTGTTAAAGCTGACATGAACTCTTAAAAAGCCATCATTTTTCATCTTTGTACGACTTACTACATTCCTGTACCCCTTTGTCCGCCATATTTCTTCGATTCCGCCATATTTAATTGAAATTTTTGGTCACCTGTACCTGCTATATATAGCCTTGTACGATTGCTTCACTTGAGTGCTTTTCTAGCCTGACTGTCGACATGTACACATCTCCGATAACAAAGTTTTTAGAAGTCCAAAAACTGACCAAATACATGTTTGAAAAGTAAAAATTCAACAAAAAATAGAACTATACCGAGAATTAAATTATTTTTGAATGCATTTGCTGCAATATAGAAAATAAACTAACACGGAATACATACATGTACATCAAACACCCATGCAGGCCGAGAAAACGCGTCAAACGCAGTGATAAAAACATTTACCTGACTACTGCTATCGTTACATGGATGTGCACATGTCGAAAGAATTATCCTATTTTACTTTTATTGAAAAATGCATCTCAGAAGTCATGTAATCCATTGCTAACTCAACAGTAAAAGATGCTTGGACACACGTGGCCCATGCCGATCATTTTATTTGGTCAGGGAAAATATCAAAGGTTGAAAGCTCAGTGGGGCTGAATGAAAAAAAAAATGCAAGTAATTTTTTCAAAAATAAACATTACTCTTGTCTGTACATGTTGTAAATAAAATTTACGATTAAGTACATGGTTTAACTTTTCATCAAATTCATTTAAAAAAAGCAGGCATTATTCCGAATCATTCACCTTTTGAAGATATTTTCCCGTGATATGAGGTCGGGGGGGGGGGGGTAATAAAACATGCATAACACTCTCATAAAAATAATGTAAGAAAAACGTCTGAAACAGATTGGATTTCTTTATGATCAATTATTATCAAATAAATATTGTGTATTGGCTTTATTAGACCTAATATAATTTGATTTAAAGTTATTTATAATTTTATGCACTATGAAAGAAAAAGTGAGCACGTTCACATACCCCACGCCAAAAGTCGAAGTAGTGCTGAAGTTCCCAGAAAAAAATAAAGGAATCGTAATTTCCTTGTAATATGCACATCTATACACATTGTGTCCTAAATATCTGCAAAGTTTGACGAAATTGTGTGCAGCGGTTTATGAGGAGTTGCGCTGACAAACTGCTCACCTCTATATTCAAGATATGGCCAAAATCTAAATGTAAAAGTGCGGAAATTCCCGAAAAATAAAGAATTCGGAATTTCCTGGTGATGTGCAAATCTACACACACATTGTCTCCTATAAATATCTGCAAAGTTCGACAAAACTCTGTACAGTGGTTTATGAGAATTTGCGCTGACCAAAAAAAAAAAAAGACTGACTGACGGGTCAAAAACATTATACCTCACGCTGGGGTAAAATAAACGAGTTTGATTCTTTGGTACAATGATAATGAAAATAGAATTTAATGTGAATTAAATTTCTAGACATAAAGTAATGATTATTAGAAAAAGCATATAGGAAGAGAGAGTAAACTCCTCGTGAGAATTCCACATTCTACCTAAAAAATCTCTTGTCTGTTGTCCAAGTTCGACACATACGTTTGAGAGGGTATTCGAGAAAGTTCCCAATGTTCCCATTCCTGTGATTTATATTTCACGTTTATCATATTCCCCGCCTGAAAAGTGGGAGGTAATCGTTATGTCCGTTCGTCTGTCTGTTACGCTTTGGGGTACCCATCTCTTATCCGCAAATCCTCTTACACCACTTAGAGAAATTTAATGAAACTTTCAAAGAATCTTAAGTTTATTACAGATTACCATTATGCACCTCCTACTTTACTTTTTGATCTGACACGTATGGGTTTAGCGAAATATGGACTTTGTCATTATAACCATATCGGAGGCAGGGGGTATCATTTAGTGAGTTCATTGCTCATAATACATGTACGTCTAGTTTCTCTTTCAATTTGGGCGTTTGGGTTAATTTCCTGTCCAAAGTAAAATTATTATTCAATTTATGAAGTTTCGACATCCCGCCTGAAAAAAATCCTTGATCTGTCCTAAGGCATAATAAATAGTACAGCACAAAGTGCGTAGGATTTTATACCTATCATTACCCCCAACGGGTGGTTACAGAGAGAGAGAGAGAGAGAGAGAGAGAGAGAGAGAGAGAGAGAGAGAGAGAGAGAGAGAGAGTTCAATATACAAAAGAATAAATAATACTTATCCGTATTCAACCAGTGTCAAGTATCCCTACCCTAGCTTTTAAAATTATCTCCCAAATTCACCTACAGAAATTATTTATATATATAAAAAAAATACTTAGACTATCAGGCAGGGATACTGAAATCTCGAAATACTTCCTGTAACAACATAATTATAAAACAGTTACATTCCTCAAAAAGCACATACCTTGTGGTCGGAGTGACACATTTTAAAAAAATCTCATAACTGAATTCGGCAGAAATGTCTGTCTTCCAAGAATATTTAAATAACGGTCATGTCAAATATTTTTGTATGCCCCCCCCCCGCCTAAAAAAAAAATCAAATGCCTACATGTCAATCTGAACAGGGGATGGCCATCCTCCGTGTGTGTATGTGTTAAAGAATGTATAGATGTACACATAAAAATTTGTATTCTGGTTAATTGCTTTTAAGATTTGAAGTAAATTATAGCCGTATATCAAATTACTTTGTTTAGATTTGAGATTAGTACTAAAATAATCAGTTATAATTGACAAATGAATTTTGCGACGCAAACCAACTGCAGACTATATACATGACTTTGTCTAGAATGTATATTAGAACTACATGTAGATAAACAATTCACAATTATAGCTTATGTACATCAGTTATAATATCCCCCCCCCCTTTCAGCCGCGCAAATACCAAATAACTTCTCTTTCCACTTTTGATATTTTCCCTGACCAAAATCTGATCAGCACGGACTAAGTGTATCGTCGTGCTAGTGTGTACGGAGTAATGGCAATGTGTTTACTATTGAGCTTTTATGGAGTTTATTTCTTTTTTGTGATGCATATTTCAATAAATGGAATTCAGGGTGTACTTCACTTGACTTGTGCACATCTTCGAACCGATGCAGTAACCTTATTACCAGGTATGGGTACGTTTACAGCGTTCGAGGCGTTTTCTCGATTTATGCATCAATTGCATAGGACCTGCAAATCACAGACGTTGGTTGTTTTGTTCCATTCAAATGATAAAATTTCAAAATGTGTTTGAAAATTTTACTGCTTTTCATTTCAAGTTTATTCTGCATAAATTGGTGCACTGTAAAAATACGTACTCATGCATCTAAATTTCTCTTCCAAACTTGCATTTTTTTCTTTTGATTCAAATCAATATTCATTCAAAAATATGATTATTATGTTGTTTATTTTGTTTTTGAAATGTCTTGATCACCTCATGTGTTCTCATATGCTTTACCATCGGAGATGTGCACAAGTCGATACCCAATCCAAAAAATCATTCAAGTGTAACGAGCGCATTGGGTATACATCGTTACAATGAGACAAGGTATCTGAAAGAAATATGGCGGAATACAGCTATAGTTGGTATGAAACAAGTCGTGCATAGATGAAAATGTTGCGTATTTAAGAATTCATGTCAGCTTTAAATGCAGTATTGAACCAGTGTTAGCTGTCAACAGAGAATGAATTTTTATTTTCATTAAGTTTTGAATCAAATTTGAAATGATTATATCTGCAGGCAATGGCTAGAAATACAGAGGTTGAGAAATAAAGTGAAGAGAAAAGTAGAAACTAGAGCTTCTAAAGGAAGAAAAATAAGGTAAGAAGTAAAATAGAAACAAGCATTACAGGGAAGAAACTTATAATTAGTAAATAGATAGAAAATTGAACTTCAAAGAAAGAAGAATAAGATAAAGGAAAAGTACAAGTTGAAAATAGATCAAAAGGAAGAAAATAAAGTAAGGAGGGGTTAATATTAAAAACCAAGTTCAATAGAATGATAGAACTGTGAAACATGTTAAGAGCAATAACTCGAGTCAAAATCCATAACATTTTTAAAACTTCTGAATTTTAAGGGAGTTATTTCCCTTGGTATTCATATACTTATTTGTTAATATTCATAAATTGTGTTTTAGATATCATGTACATCCTAAACTGGTCAACTTTATGGCTCCTAAAGAGATATGTACCTGGACAGATGAAGCAAGGTATATTAGTTTATTATCTGGCAACTTT